TCCCTCCCTCACCATGAGGGGTGATCTGCCCCCCTCTCACGCTCCTTCCCTCCCCCTCCCCTTTCACCACAACAGACTTACCAGCTGCACGCTGCCAGGCTCTGCTCCTCGCTACCTGTGTGCTATGCTGCATGGGCATTTATTGGCCAAATAATCAGCCACATCAGGCCAACTTCTGATATAGTCAATTTTCTTTATATCAGTGCCAATCTGATATCGAACTGATGTATTGGTGCACCTCTAAATACTCAGTATGGATGCTCATCTCAGGGTAGGGACAAACATACACTTGTAGTAGCTTCAAAAGGGGGCAGGAACTGCTTTGGGAAGTATGCAGAAGTTGCTATAATAGTTATACCTGTGTGAGTCCGCTTCAAAACTACTCCAACTCTTAACTCTGGATGAAGCAATGTTAATGTTGAAGCTGTTTTGCTTTGTGTCACTCCCAGCTTGTGCATATGTAAACTGTTAGAATGTAACAGCTGCTGTAAAGAAGCTCCCCCTCCTTTTGAAACTGCTCCCAAAGTCCGTTTGTCCATAACTTTAGCTCAGTTCTATTACTATAGAATCATACATCAAACATGAGACATTTACTAGGAAGCTGCCTAATTAGCTCCGCAGTAAAGTCTCTGCATCTACATGTGTGGCCCTATTAGGTCACAGCAAACTAATAAACACCACCATAGGATAGTACTTGTAAATACTAATACTATCCTGTCATGGCATTATTTACCGTGCAGCAGTGCATGTGTAGATGCTGACTGGGCTGGCTGAGGCACAAGGGTGCTTCAGTGCAAGGCTGCCCCCTGGATCTGCCGGCAGCTCCAACCTGGCTCAATGTGCTGCAGTCCCGGGCACACACACAAACACGGTGCCCAGCAGCAACAAATTCCAGCATATGTGCCGCGGTTTACTGTCGCATTAATTTCACGTGTAGATGCACCCATAGGGTAACGGTAGCTGCAGCAGCTCCTCCTCCCTTTTTGAATGCACTACACGTGTACATGTGTCAATACCTCATGATTTGACTATTGAAGTAAAACATACTTAACTGTGGTATTACTTCATTGTACACAAGTATATTTAATAGTCAACCTATAGCTTTCAGTGTAACTACCTGAGTTTTACTACATGTTTTCCTGTGTTCTAACAACTGAGAAGTGAATCCCTGCCTCACGTATAATATCAAGGAGGGATTTTCAAAGGTACCTAAGTAACTCAGGGCACAAGGTCCACTGCAAGTCAGTAGGACTTGTACTCTTAAACTACATAAAGTGCTTTTCAAGATCCCAGCCAAACTCACTATGTCAGTGTATTTTCTTCTATTTGTAGATATATTACTGGATACTACTATTAAAGCAGCAGCTGATAAACAACTGGAGAAGAAACAAACATCACAAAGATCAACATTCTTTACCGAAAGGACCATTAAATACACTCTAACAATATGATAAGAATTAAATACTGCTAACAAAGAAATACAGGTCTAAATAAAAATTTGCTGAACTTTAGTATTTTTTTACTTCTATTAGACCGAAAAAATCAAAATGAGCTGAAATGACATTAAAATATCACCATTAGAAATCCGCAAAATACGTTTAGAAAGGAAAAGACAGAACTGCATGGAAATGCAATGTACATAAAACTACATACAGTAATTCATATTTTTCATTATCTGATTTATTTAAAAACCCTACCAAATTTAAAAACCCTACCAATGTGTTTTCCCCATTCTGCATATCTCAAACTATATTAAAGCCTAACCAACATACCATAAATATGATAAAGGAAAAATAAAATACTCTGCATTTTATTAACCCCCAAGGACCCAAGGTAGTCATAGTTAAGGAGGCCCCCACAAAAAGCAAGCTTCCAGAGCAATGAACTGTGAATTGCTACTTCTTACAGTCTCATTACCAGTGGAACGGACCTTTAAGGGCAAGTCCCTGCACTCAATATTGAATCTGAAGCGGGGGAGGGACAAGTTTGAAAGTATGTGTATTAGAGGTGTGTGAAACGGGCCATATTCGATTCGGATTAGGCCCGAATCAGGGACTGTGATTCAATTAGCTGATTCAGATCACTGTCCCTGATTCAATTTAACCGAATCTGAATCTGAAGATTCAATGCTGATTCAGAGAATCAGCGATTTGGACATAGACACAGCTTTAAATGTTTTTTCACATACCTCCAGGTACCAGGCGCAGCTCATGAATACTGCGATGCTGGGGTGGATGGAGCATCCGACAGGAGCGCGGGGGGCCCCCCGCGTGCTCGGCGGTTAACCCAGAAGTGGAAGTCCACTTCTGGGTCCACCAGGAAGAGCACAGGGGGGCCTCCCCGTGCGGCTCCATCCCCCCCCGCCCCGGCTCAGCAATCAGCCGCAGGGGGACCCCGGGTGCCCCCCCAGACCCAGAAGGCACCAGTTGCCAAGCCAGGGGGGGCCCCCAGTGCGCTCCTTGGTGCTTCCAGTCCATTTCCGGGTCTGCTGCTGAGTGCGCTGGGGAACCCACTGCGTTTCTGTGGGATGCTGCATCTGCCCTGCCATTTCAACTTTGACAAGCCGCCTGCTACCTAGAGGTATGTAGAAAAAACATTTAAAGCTGTGTTCATGTTTGAATCTTTCCAAATCGATTTGGAGGGTTCTGACTCAATTTGGAGAGTTTAAAGGGTCTCCTGAGATTCAATTCGGATTCGGAGATTTGGCCACCAAATCGAGCCAAACTGAATCAGGGACCAAAGCTTTGCACAGCCCTAATGTGTATCTATTCTACTGCAACACAGGCAAGAACTAGATGTTTTTAAAATTCAAAAATAGGTTCTCAGTAACAAAGGGTCTACTTCTAAGGTCCTCCTTGGTACAAGTACTGGAGGCTCATGATGAGTATTGTGGCCTTTGGGACAAAATACACATTGCAATGGTTTATGTCCATACACTCCTAACACTGATTGTACACTGTTTGTCTATGTAGAAACACCCATGAAAAATATTTATTTTGTTAGCAGGCACAAACAGATTATATTAGTTGTAGGGCTGGTTTTCATTAGAATTAGAAAGATGCACTAATATCTTTGCAGTTTATTTGTATGCTCATTCTGGAGTTTCATACACCTGTTTCTCTCACAAAACTGCGAATGACTGCGCTTTCACATAACGAGAAACCAGAGCACTGCGAAATAGTAACAATTTGTAATACAATGAGCACAAAAGTAGATAAAACAAGTCACTTAAAGATATCCAATTCAAAACCAATGTTATTTTTATTTCCGTTATGTCAGTGAAATTCTCATTGATGCCAGCAGAATTCAGTGCACATATTAAAAAGAACTTAAGATCCCTTTTTTTTTTTTGGTTTCTTATAGTTTATCAATGACCTAACAAATATTTGCTGAATATTAATAGCAGTCGTTTTTACATGCTCAATGCAACAGCACCTCAACACTGCTACAAAAAATACACATTTCATTTTTGACATCTCTTGTTATGTGCTAATACTGTCCCATTTTTCTGACAGGACACCATCCATATGGAGAATGTTTCTGCAACTTAACACATTATAAATAATAACATTTTAGCAACTTTCTACCACTACAGCCTCAAATGCCCAAGTAAAAACCACAACTCTCTGTTTGAGATAATGCCATACTGAACTGTTAGGGTAAAATGATACCGCACTGACAGTCTTCAAACTATGTAAAGAATATACAAAAGCGATGTGATCTGTGGAAAAATGATTTAAGTTTGGTACCAAGCTGTGAAGCTAATTGCGTACTTAACCAAAATGCTACTCAAGTCAATGGTGTAAAAGTGGAGTAAGTGGTTAAACTCAGGGTGTGATACATGAGACATTAAGTGCATAGTTGATTAATTAGCTCCACAGTAAACATCTTAAGGTCTATACCTGCAGAGTTATTAGGCTGGAGTAAACTAAACTCCACAGCAGGATAGTACGTGTAAATACAAGCACTATACTACTATGGAGTTTTTTACTCCATAACAGCGCACGTGTTTTACTCCGTAACAGCGGCTGGCTGGGGCATGGGGGTGCTTCAGTGCAGGGGCTGCCTGCTAGCTAGGGCCACACTAGAGCAGCCCTGTGCCCCAGCTAGCCCCTCCTCAGCACACTGAGCAGAGTCGGAGCAGGCTCAGACTGGCAGGCTGAGCCACTGGCAGGGCCCGCTGCCAGCCGGGACTGCTCCAACCCAGCTCAACATGCTACAGTCCTGGGCACACATTCAAATGGCATGCCTGGAAGCAAGAACTCTGGCACAAAAACTAGAGTTTATTGTTTCACGTTCATTGCACGTGTAGATGTTCCCTCAATTTATTCTGGATTTGCATCAATATAACATAATTTTACTCTCTAGAACCAAGATACCATGGTGACTACTGCTCTGTAAACACTATAAGTAAATTAAAGATATCAGATCAAGTTCAGCCCTTGGGTAAGCAAGTTCAACTCCTTAGGCTCATCTGTTGACAAAGGCAGAAGCAAAACTTAAAATCATACAAATTAAAATCTACTAATTCCCATGTCCCAATGTACAACCACATGTGGACTCAAGTTGGTGTAATTTACACACTGAGAAGACAGAAAAATTGGTAGGAAAGTGCAACTTACAAGTGGTAATTATTTGAACAAGTAACTTATACCACTATTTTTTCTGAACAACTCCAAGCCAGATTTTTTGCCTATTGCTTACTGTAACAGGGAAACTAACATACCCATTACTGTAAGGGAAAATCTTGCAGCAGACAGAGTCCAGGAAGCTAAATAGAGGGTAGCAGGCACCAGGGAAGCTAAATAGAAGGAGCAGGCATCAGTGAAGCCCTGTTACTGGAGCAGATGACTGACTGCAGCAAAGGAAAAGGAAAACACCTGCCACCAGTCAAGGGAACACTGCATGGAAGAAGTTGGCAACAGTAGAGCAGAGCCTAGCCAGGCAACAAGGAGCCATAGCTGTACTTGTCAGCTCCCATGGCAACTATTTGGTGGGTCCTGATGAATCAGCCCTGAAGGGGTGGGACTTAAGAGGTATAAAAGTCAAGGGCTTGAGACCAGAGGCAGTCTATCTCTGAAAGCTGCCAGTGAAGGAGCTCTGCCCTGAAAAGGACTTTGTCAGAGAGACTGGCTGGGAGCTGTTTGCCCCAAAGTCAATAAACTACAGGGATGGAGACCTGTACTTAAAGGACCAGAGCCGAGAGACCCATTGAGAGCTGCCTGCAATAAAGGCTATAAGCAAAAGGCTACAGGATTACAGAGGAAGGTTAGTTACACAGTCAGAAGAAGTAGAACTTATGTTATAGCCAATGTGCTTATGTTTGCATTAGAGTTGTTACTGGTGGTTTGGGATTGTAACTGAAAGGGAAGCCAGGGGGATCCCAGGGGTGCCAGAGGCACATGACAGTTGTGGGGAGCCCTGCCAAGGGCTAGGCCCCAACACACAAAGCAGGCTTCTGCTAGAGGAAGACAAGAGAGACTTGAACATACTGCCTCAAAAGGGCAGAATTGGAGCCAGGGGCTCCAATTCCATAGTCCAAGAAAGGTGGGATCATAGCCTGAGAAAAGTGAGGCCAGGGGTGAGGAACATAGCCCAAGAAGGGCAACAACCAGAGGAGCATAGCCCAAAGGGGTGAGAAATGGTCTGGGATCCATAGCCCAAGTGTGGTGAAGATCAACAGGGCCAGGGAGCCTACAGTCCAGGAGGGGCAGGGACTGGCTAGGAGGGCAGGAAACTGAGCCCCAGGAGGATAACAAAGGGACAAAGGCATAGAGGCCTGAGCCAGAAGGTCCAGATTGACTGAGTGGAAACTGGGCTAAACACCTGCTGATGCATAATTGGTAACACCTGCAAGGAATGGGTATGGCTGTCGAGGAAGTCAGAGGCCACGGAATTAGCCCTTAAAATGATTATTGAGCTGGAGCACTGATGGGCTAGGAGGGCCCAACTAGCATCTGGGGAAGAGTTTGAGACCTGTGGAGTCTGAAAGCCACTCTCTGATTACAAGCACAGACAAGATTTTAGGGTAACCTCCCTTTCCACCAATTTAACTAATTACAACAAGGCATGGCAGATGAGAAGGAAGGAAGGAGACCCAGAGAGCTAGGATGGGTACAGGAGCTGTGCAGCCACCAGGGGGGTCATGCCTACCCCTGGGGACCGGTCCTGCTACGCTTACATAACAATTATTCGTTAGCTACATATGCACTAAGGGTAAAAACTTATTTAGACAACCTGTTAGACAAATGGCAACTTTTTGACCCCACTGTCCCTTTGCCATGTAATTATACTGTACTCAGTTTAACTATGTCATAATTGGCACTACAGACAGAAAAGCTGAAGCAGTTGCCAAAGGCTCCCTATTAGAAATCATGAAAATGACTGGAGCTAGTCAGTTTCAAGATCAGTATCTCCCCATCATTTTCAAGGCTTCTAACAGCAGCCCTGAAACTGAGGACATGCCCACATTTTCAAGGTTTCTAATAATCAATCTGGGACTGCTAAAACCAAAGCAGTAACAGTGGGTTGTATCAAATAAGCACTATTTATGTTAAATCTGGATAGGTGTGCAGTTCAAGTGAATGAACAGCCTCTTCCCACTCCAAAGGCTATGCACTTAGATTAAACTATATAGCCCTTTGGAGAGCCATTATAAGGTGCATCAAACTTATGATTTTTATATTTGCAGTACTGTCTGGCATAAATAGATTTTTGACAGGTATCATTATCATCATCGGGTCAAATTCACCCCTGCTGTAACAGGTGCAATTCCACCAAGTCACTGGAGTGATAGAAGTTCAGGATGACATTACTTTTATCATCAGTGCCAAACAAAGGCACAAAATGTCACTTTGAAGATCTTATTAACAACACTCTGGGACACTACCACTTGGCTTCATAATGCCAAATACTACTAGCAGTGGGAACCTACTGTTGTGGTTCAGCA